CTTAATCGAGTGGGTCGTGTATTAAGGGACCATATCACTATTGAATTCTACACTAAATGTTTGTTTGCTTTGTCTATGTAAACGTACTTCATATTTTGAGTTCGTCCTTCGACACAGTCTAAGAGTTTCGTAAGGATCATAAATTAGATTTATGTCAATATATGAAGGCCTATAAGGTCACACAATATGCAATCTATTTTCAGACTAAGAGTGAATCGAGAGTGTTAAATATTCAATTAGATTGGAATATTTAATTTTAGTAATGAGATTATTTTATGTTAGATAGAAAATATATAATTTATTTTAGTAATGAGATTATTTTCTATTAGATATATAGGAAATATATAATTAAGTTTCATTGAACTTAGTCTAAATTAAATCATTAATTGGATTAGGTCCAATTACCTATTAGGCAATAGGTTATCCTAAAGCCCATATAATTAGGTTTAGCCTAAATATAAATAGATGGTTATCTCTTCATCAGAAGATTAGATCAGATAATTGAGATACGCCGCCAGAACACAAAAACTCTCTCTTGCTTTCTGACTGAGGATTCCTAGCGTCTTCACCGGAAAGGATTCACTGCGTTGGATCGTTCACTGCGTTGGATCGTGCACCGGGATCTGGGTTGCGTGGATACCATAGTTGAAGACAAAGCTTAAAATGTAAGTTCTCGTTGATCTAGGATCAAATCGAATAGCTGTAGCCGAATCTTTCTTGTTGGTAAGAAACTTTTTAAAATTCCGCTACGTGTGCGATTGATTCGTACATCAAAATTCAACAGCTGGTGCAGGACGGATGCGATGACCTTTAAATAATTATTTTGGCCAAATCATCTGAAACTGCAAAATGTTTAAATCGTAAATTCTGGTAAAAGAAGAGACAAATACAATTTTTTTATATAATTTATATTTGTATTTATAGACTTTCCATATAAATTTAAAGTTATGAAATTAATATTACTAGTACAACGCCCGTTTATTACACGGATGCTTGCTAAAATTTTTTCTTAAAATTTAAAATTAATGAGAAAAAGTTGTTGAAAATTTAAATACTTTTTTATAAATATAAATATATATATATATATATATATATATATTACATTTTAGAATGATACTTGTTACTTGTGCGATTTATATGTGTTATATTATAATAATTTTTTTAACTTATAACATATAACTATATTAAACATGAATATATTAATTGAGAAATAATTTTATTTTTTAATTACTTTTAATAAATATTTTTTATTATTGTAAAGATAAATTTAATTTATTTATTTTATATATACAATATGGATGCCAAATCAAAGGTCATCAAAAGATGATTAATCTGATACATTATATATGTAAAATCGATAAGAAATACAAAAGTTACAACTTTTAAAATACATATACAATTCAATAGTTATAATAGGAAATGATATTAAAATATAATTAATATATCTAAAATGATCATAAATAAATCAACATATTTATGGGGAAAAGAAGAATTAGGGCTCCCCATTGAAGAAAAAACCGAGATGCGAGAAAATAAAATCGGGAAAAGAAAAATTTACAGAAGGGTAAAGTGGTATTTTATTGTGTTATCATCTTATTTAATCCAATGAAGTAAATGAGAGATTCGTTTTTCAAATTCCATCCCACAAAGTAAACAGAGGATTAATTATGTAAAGTTGCCCGGATTATTTTAGTTTATCCCATCACATAAAGTAAATGAGGCCCAAGGTTACACAGTAAAAAACATGCATATGTAATGACACACTCACGATTTGTGCAAGAATTCGCTTGAGTTCATTGGATGCACGAGCACTCGCGGTGTGCAAGTTGCTTGGCTGGTCGCAGTATATAAAGTTCATTTATGAAAAAAAAACCCCGAGGTTATGTGGGATTAAAATGGTTTGTTTTTTTTCTTTAATTTATCGTGACTGTGCGTCGCGGCAAATTAGAATTATATTTTTCCTCGACTAGCATCTACTAACTAGTAGTAGTGTCGAGTAAATGGTCGATCCCATGAGGGGCGTGAATCAAAACTTGAATTTTTTTTCCTATTAGTTGATATTATAAAAGCAATAAATATGGGGGGATTGTGATTTAATAGCTAAACTAACTAAAAATCTTAATAAGCAAATAAAATAAAATCAATTATAATAAAAATAAAATTAAATAAATTAAGAGAACTTTCCAGTTCAAGATTCCGTCTACACCCTTGACTGACTTATCAAATTAGTTTTAGTATTTATCTTATAGAATTACTAGCCCTAGATAGCAACACACTCTGCTACCCGAATTTTCCTTACTGTTTATTTAGCCGATAAACGTTCTTCGGTTAAACCTGACTTATTGGACAGTCTAGAATCTAGAACACACTTTCTAGATTTAATGCAATAGTCGTTTTAGGATTTAGAAAAATAGGCTAGTCTAAGTTACCATGCGGTTCATAGGTCGTGTTATCCCCGATAGTTACTGGCTTTCAATTGCTACTTACGAATTAAACGTAACAACAATTACAGATTGAAGGTTTAACTTTTTTAGCTATAGAGATGAAAACTCTAATCTATATGATCAATTAAATAAGACTATACAAATCTAAATTCATAATCCAAAATAACAAGCACAGTTAAAAAAATATAACAAAGTTACTAGACTAACTAAAAATCCTAATGAACCAAATAAAATATAATAATAAAAATAACATTAAATATATTAAGAGAATTTTCTAGTTCAAGGTTCCGTCTACACCTTTGACTGACTTATCAAATTAGTTTTAGTATCAAACTTCATTATCTTATAAAATTACTAGCTCTAGATAGGGACACCCTCTGCTACTCGAATTTTTCTTACTGTTTATTTAGCCGATAAACTTTCTTCGGTTAAACCTGACTTATTGGACAGTCTAGAACACGTTCTCTAAATTTAATGCAATAGTCGTTTTAGGATTTAAAAAAGTAGGCTAATCTAAGTTACCACGCGATTCCAATTAGGTCGTGTTATCCCTGATAGTTATTGGCTTTCAGTTGCTATTTACGAATTAAACTCACAACAATTACGGACTGGAGGTTTAACTTTTCTAGCTATCGAAATAAAAAGTATAGGTGATCAATTAAATAACTAAACAAATCTAAATTCATCATTAGTTGTACACTAGGTTGGTAATGTAGCATTTTTCCTTGAATAAAGGGGTGTGGACATACGCAGGATTATTTAGGGAGAGAGCCAGAGAACAAAGAAGAGAAGAAAAAGCCGGAGAGAGACGTGAGGAAATCCAATCAGAGGCCGCACCTGCACACGAAGTGCGTAATTTTGTTCTCTTTCTTTCATTATTTATTATGTTAGAGTAACTCTTATTTATAGTTTTGAGAAGTCGAACTCTACGACTTTATGGTGTTGGATCAATTTTCATGGTTAGTAATTTTGTTATTTTTTTTTTTTTTGAATTGTGCTTGTTATTTTATTCAAGTTTGATGCCTTTTTATTCTAATTCCCTTGCTACTTCGTGTGGAATCTTTTCCTTCTTGTCCATGGAATTAATTGGAATCCTCTAAGCCCATGTTTTATTCACCAAGGCCTATATCAATTTTTTGGGCCTTTTTAAAATTATCCATCCTTGGGCCCAGAACAAAGCAAGTGTGGGGCCCTCGGGCTGGTATGGCGAACCCTTATACTATACTCCATCGACTGAAATTTCATCTAGTGCCACGTCACTAATTAAAATACTCCAATATCCTAAAAATAAACATAAAAAATCAAAGTATAATATCCATAAAAAAATAACTAAGTCGAAAAATATATAAATGCGATAAAATTAAGTATATAAAAATACGCTAATAAATATATAAAATACACACCTTTTCGACTATAATTTTGATATCAACCCATGGGTTTTTGAAAAGGTTTGGTATTTAAACTTCGTCATATTAAAGAATGATTATTCTATAAAAATTATATTTGTCGAAACGTTAAAAAAGAAAATGGATAGAATTTTTTTTCAAAATTTTGAGATAAAATTAAGGGATTTTATGACATCAAAAGTTTGAAATTCATTTTGAAATTTTCATATTTAGTAAAAATAAAAATTTCAGGCCTAAATTTCGTAAGGTAAAATTTTAGCCATAATACATTAATAAATTTAATCGATATTCATTAAAATCGATAAACGGATTAAACCATTGAATAACCTACCGGTGGTTTGTCGAGTATACATATAAGGTGACATCATACTTTATTTATGGCATGTTTGGTAAATGTAGCTGATGAGTTAGTTGATAAGTTAGTTGATAATTTATAAATGGATTCCAAACTTGCCGTGCTTATAACATATGGCTAAGAAATAGTCGATATAATAAAACTGTTTGGTAAAATTAGTTAAAAATGTGACTGAAATAAAAATTTGAATATATATTTTTAAAAAGCTACCAAATGAAACTTATAAGATAAGTTTTAACATTTTAGGAAACTCATCTTACCTTATTTAAATATATAAACTAACTAAACAGTGCTGCCAAACACACTCGTGAACATTTTCATTACCATAAAATGCATGAAAACGGATTTAACAAAGGAATGCAAGTTTATGGTTTAGGAGTTCGATTTGGTCGTATGTACTGATCTCGAAAAGTGAGTTGAAATCGCATCCAATGTTTAAAGCATTCGACTCTGGATGATCGATGAATTATGAAGAATTTGCACGTTTGTTATGATTGTCATGTTGCGATAAAAGCATATATCGCTGGTTAGAGAACGAGGAATTTTTGTACGAGATTCGAGCAGGTTTCATCATTTCAACAATGGAGATTGCTCTTGTGGGGGATTTTGTGCAGGGATGGGTCCTTCAAAAGGAGAAAAAGAACCAAACACTATATAAAAACAAGCACTTTTATTATGGCTACAGCAAAGTAACTAACTGACATCACAAAGGCCAAACCTTAGCGCCACTTCAAAACCGAGACAAAACTTTACCTACACAACTAACACTGCAGATCAGATGAGGAAATAAAACTGTCACTGATTATTTGCTAGAGACGGAAAAGACGGAATAGATTGAAGTATCAGCTTCCGGCTGCTCCTTAGACCAGGAGAAGAAGACCTCTCCACTCGCTGCTGAGGTGGCGAAACCCTTTTCCCGTTGGGAGATGAAGAAGATTTTATGCCGCCTTTCGGAGATCCTTCTAGAAGAAACTCGGGCATTATTTCATCTTCCTTGACTGCTTGAGAAGAGTGGTTGAACTTTGGCGGGAAGAAGCTTGTTGAACTTGGCTCAATGTTATCGTGGATTGTAGCTTTACGGAAGCTTCTGTTGAGCTCAGCATTCTCGGTTGTAAATGTCTCGTTTTCTTCGTACTCATGATCTATGCTCGACGCACCAGAACCTGATCCAGGATTAATCGAAATATTAGTTTCTTGATTTTTTTGTATATGTTGTGCAAAGTTATTTCATTATTGTAATACATGATTTTTTTTTTTAAATAAATTTACTCACCATCCTTTCTGCCAAATGCATTTTTGCATCCTTCACATCTGCAGTTAATGGAGCATCCAACACCACCCTGAGTAAAGAAAATCGAGAACTTAATTTCCATCGAACTTGCGAACTTTTAAACGCAACCAATATGTAAACAAAATAAATAGTTGCAAGAACAAACCTGATAACATTCACAATATTTCTTGAGGCAGCCAGATTTCTTGCAGTTGCAACCTCTTTTATGCCGAGAAGAAGCAGGAGTCTTGCTGAAATCATCCTGCAAGACTCGATTATAAAACAAATCTGTATAAATGCTCGTAAATATAGTTCGAAACAAACAATTTTTATTATTTTTTTTTTGGGCTTTTTTACCCCGATTTCTGTTACAGAATCCGAGCCCCTAATCACTTTAGGAGCAAATGCAAGAGGATTTCTTGACTCGATCTGCTTCCGAGTTGCAAGAACTGTGTCTTCATGAACAGGTTTGTTGAAGCAATCTATACACGCGCATGGCTCCACACAGTAGACACCGGCGGCAAAGCATTCACAGTAACTGCATTTAAGATTCAAATATTGAATAATACAATCACATCAAACACCTAACAATTTGTGTACTGTAAGATACCGGAAAACAATACTGACTTGGAAATATTAAGATAAAGGGCACCTGTATTCGCAAAAATTGCCGTTGGACATATAAAAAGTTGTCATTTTTACAATAAAATGGCCCCTGATTTTTATCCTAATTACAAAAGGAAACCCAAGAATAACCTGTTGAACTTACAGCTTTAAACATTTCGATTTCTTGCAGTTGCATCTCTTACAAGCACCTTCACCCTCCACACCTTGTTCCAACCTACGCCTTTCCAAAAATAATCGAGCCATTGGTGAAAAAGAAGTATAAAAAGAAATACATATTTGCAATTAACCAGTCGGAAAGACAAAAAGAGGATAGAAACATGCATGGAGCACATACTTTTTCTTCTTTGGACTAATATTTTTGCTCTCTTCAATTTCCATAATCCCAGAATCTTCCATCCGCACAAAGCCATTTTCGACATTACCAGTTCCCATCTCGAACGGGTACTCGGGCAAATTATTGTATGAGCTTGGCCCAATCGAGAACCTTCTAGAAGCAGACACATCACTATTGTAGTCGTTACGGATTGGAGCTAGAACATTCAAATGCAAGCCAATCCCAGGTAATGCGTGTTGTGAGGAAGAAGAAGAATTAATATTTGCTGCATTTTTTACACGGGCCCCAGCTATGTCGTAAACGAGACAGCGCCTTTTAACACCACGGTACAAGCCAGGGAGCTGACGAAAAACACATATTTCAGGAGAAATGCTCATCAGGAAAGTACTCATTAGATGCAGAACTCGGAAAAATATTGAAGATAATCATGAAAGTGTACCCTGCATTTCTGGTAGTCCAGAAATATAATTTGATTCCAAGTTATTAACAAAAAAAATAAAAAAAAAAAATAAAAAAAAAATGGTTAATTAAACGAATTTAACCCTCACACTTTAGCCTACTTTATGAAAATGAGTCACCTTCCAAAATTGCAGACACATCGCACAAGAATGCAAACATGAGAATAACTTACATTATAAAGTTTCTTTTTAATATATATAATTTGGAGCATTCCCTATGGTGTGTTTCATAATTGTTTCGAAAAGTAAATGCAAATTCAGTGAATGCAATCCTTTACCTGATACTCCACATTTTCACAAGGATTCGTAATGAAAGAACCGCCATTTATGCCAACAAGGTCCCGATTAGAATCAGTCTCCATCATCTCACATTCTTCCACAGGCCTAGCATACAAGCTTTCTCTCTCCCGGGACAGCGTATTCTGAATGGCATGCTTGATGCTTGTGTAGAAACTCAATGCAGGGTCGACTGATTTCTTGGCGGGCTCCGGTTTTAATAGATCAGACGGGTCAGAAATTAAGCCCTCCCAATCGCACGATGACATGTCACCATCTTTGGTTCGGTCCACAATTTGCGTTATGCCCTCCAAATTCACTTGTGAGTCGCTTAACGGAACTTTAGGATGGTTCGAGTTGGGATTCGAGATATCGTTATCATATTTGAGACTCTTGGCAAACTCGACTATTTGCTTCGGCCATTCATAAGACACCTCGTGATTAGCTGTCATGTGATCCGATGTTATCATCGGATCAAGATTTTCCTTCTGATCGTACAAAATCTCATTGGATCCAAAGTTCGATTTGTTTGTGTTTCCATCATCGGAAGAGAACTCGGGTTTCGATGGATCCGGATGTTGATGTCTGAGAAGAAAAATGAGGACAAAAATGTATTAGACAAACTTAAAGGAAATGAAAAATGCAGAGGCTTAGGAATCAGAAAGAGAGAGTGGTGAATGATGAGTTGCCAAAATTGCTTTATCTTAAAGAAAATCTCAAACTAAAAGCAGAATCAGAAATCATAAAGCACTCTTCCACTTACTTGAAGATTCTGAGCAAACTAGCTATGTTAATAGATATTTGCCATGAAACAAAAATCAGTATAATATGACAACTAAAATAATTTACCTAGGAATAAATCTGCACTCCTTGAGAGAGGTAGCAGCATGTGGTGAAGTGAACACGGCCGGAAAGGATGCGAAAGTAAGAGGGTTGATCGTCTGAGTGAACGGTGCGGATTTAACGGGCTTGATCGGTGATAGGCTGTTGAGAAAACTAAAGACCGGCGAGTCCTGAAAGAGCAATATTCATTAAAAAAAACACACACACACACAGCATACCAACAAAACTATTACAAATCATAAATTTTGTTCCTTGTGTGATCCGAGTTTCGACAATGTCGAATTCTCATAACCATGCAAACACTGTTGGGTTGTGATCTATCTTTTACCATGTAAACCTTAAGGAGATTCATAATGAATACAGAATTTCACCAAGTTTCCTAATTTGTGCACAAAAAAGATAGTTTCTATACCAAAAATAAAGGTTAGAACATGAATAGGTGAAAATACCCTTTTCCCAAACCAAATAAAACCCAACTTCACAGACCAATTTGCAGCACACACACACACCCATTTCACGAACCCAAATGAAAAGGGCAAACTGATACGAACAACCCCATTACAGAGGAAAAAACGATACAGTTTTTGGACAACATAAACACATAATTTGTGTCCAAATACAAATGCAAATCAAACCTCAATTTTGCTGCTAACTGATGTTGTCATCTGATTGTTCTTGCCCTTCTCTGGAGTACCCATCATTTCCTTGCATTCTTTACCATTATTCTCATCCATTTCTTGATTTCTGTATATA